CAAATCCAATTTTTGGGAATGTAAGACTCGCAAAGCGATCCTACAATCTCGTTCTAACCGACAGGTAAGAAACGCTCCACGTTTCCGAACAGGTACAAATTCCTCTGCTGTTAACAACGGTCAGCGAGGAACAAATTCTACATTCGTACCCATAGGTACAAATATCACCCCTGCTTCAAATTTTTCATCTGTACCTACTCCCCTCGCTGCTAACAATGTTCAGCGAGTTAATGGAGCTACCTATTCTGCTATTGCAACGGGTAGAAATCAGAATACTAACCAAAGTAATTCTAACGGAAATTTTGACAATTTTGACTTAGGAAGCATTACTGCCCCTAAAATGGAATTTTTACAGAAATCATTAATTGACATGATTTCTGATATGCTTAAATCTAACTCCATGTTTGATGCTATTCAAACTGGAGTAAAATTTGCAAATAATATTGTCATGACTTTAAAATTCAGTAATGGATTTTAAAGCATTAAATATTGTAAATTGGAATGCTCGATCTCTTAAAGATAATGAAGACGAGCTATTTAACTTTTTGAGAGTTCATAACGTGCATATTGCCGTTATAACTGAAACGTTCCTTAAACCTGACCATAAGGTTAAGAAGGACGCAAATTACTTGATTTATAGAAATGATCGTCTTGATGGACCCTGTGGTGGCGTTGCCATCATTATTCATAGACGAATCAAACATAAAATTCTTTCTTCATTTGAAACCAAAGTTTTTGAAACTTTGGGAGTTTCTGTTGAAACAAAATTTGGACAACTTACGTTTATAGGTGCCTATTTGTCATTCCAATGCGTAGGCCAGAAAAAGAATTTTCTCAAGGGAGACCTTCAGAAACTTACCCATCATAGGTCTAAATTCTTCATTATTGGTGATTTTAATGCAAAACACCGCTCATGGAATAATGCTCAAAGCAATTCCAATGGTAATATTCTGTTTGATGATTGTTCTGCAGGTTATTACACTATTCAATATCCAAACAGCCCAACATGCTTTTCTTCTGCAAGAAATCCCTCCACTATTGATTTGGTCTTAACTGATTCATGTCAACTTTGTAGCCAACTGGTTACCCATGCTGACTTCGGTTCTGATCACCTTCCAGTAACTTTTGAAATATCCCAAGAAATAATTTGTAATCCCAACAGCTCTACTTTCAATTACCATAGAGCTGATTGGGAGCAGTATCGAACATTTATGGAATATAACTTCGATCCAAACATTCATTTGCAAACCAAAGATGAAATTAATTATGCTCTTGAATCTCTGACTACTTCTATAGTTGCAGCAAGAGCTGCCTCAGTACCAAAATGCGAGGTTAAATTCGATTCAATTATAATAGACGACGATCTTCAGCTCTTGGTCCGTCTTAAAAATGTCCATAGGAGACAATATCAAAGAACACGCGATCCTGCCATGAAGGTTATCTGGCGGGATTTGCAAAAACAAATTAAAAAGCGATTCTCTGCCCTGAGGAACAAAACTTTTGAAAATAATATTTCTAAATTAGACCCGAGTTCCAAACCCTTTTGGAAACTCACAAAAATTTTGAAAAAACCTCAAAAGCCTATTCCAGCGCTTAAAGAAGGTGGTAAAATTTTGATCACAAATTTGGAAAAAGCTCAGAAACTTGCTAAGCAATTCGAGAGTTCCCATAATTTCAGTTTGGGTCTTACTAGTCCTATTGAGAATCAGGTTGCTCGGGATTTTCTGAATATTTTCTCTCGGGAAAATATTTTTGATGATTCCTGGGGGACTGATTTGGACGAAGTAAGGTCTATAACTAAAAATTTTCAAAATATGAAAGCTCCAGGTGATGATGGAATTTTCTATATCCTCATCAAAAAACTCCCAGAGAGTTCCTTGTCTTTCTTGGTAAAATTATTTAACAGATGTTTCCATTTGGCATACTTTCCTGATAAATGGAAAAATGCAAAAGTTGTTCCAATTTTGAAGCCGGATAAAAATCCAGCTGAAGCTTCTAGCTACCGCCCAATAAGTTTGCTTTCTTCAATAAGTAAACTTTTTGAAAAGATAATTTTGAATAGAATGATGCTTCACATCAATACGAACTCAATTTTTGCAGATGAGCAGTTTGGATTTCGCCATGGGCATTCAACTACTCATCAACTCTTAAGAGTTACCAATTTAATTCGTTCAAACAAATCGGAAGGCCACTCAACTGGAGTTGCTCTTCTAGACATAGAAAAAGCATTCGACAGTGTTTGGCATGAAGGTTTGATTGCTAAATTGAAAAAGTTTAATTTTCCACTTTATATTATGAAATTAGTTCAAAATTATTTAACTGACAGAACTCTGCAGGTAAATTATCAAAATTCCAAATCTAATCGACTACCTGTTAGAGCAGGAGTTCCTCAGGGTAGCATTCTTGGGCCTATATTGTATAACATTTTCACTTCGGACCTCAAAGTTGCCACAAATCTTTGTTCGCTGATGACACAGGCATTTCCGCTAAAGGAAGAAGTCTTCGTGTTATTTGCAGCAGACTGCAGAAAAGTTTAGATATTTTCTCTTCTTATTTACAAAAATGGAAGATTTCTCCCAACGCTTCCAAAACTCAACTTATAATATTTCCACATAAGCCCAGAGCTTCCTTTTTGAAACCTAGTAGTAGTCACATAGTCACTATGAACGGAGTTCCAATTTCCTGGTCAAACCAAGTGAAATATCTTGGATTAATACTTGACCAAAAATTAACTTTTAAAGATCACATTGAGGGCATTCAAGCCAAATGTAACAAATATATCAAATTTTTGTATCCTCTTATAAACAGGAAATCCAAACTTTGCCTGACGAATAAACTTCTAATATATAAACAAGTTTTTAGACCGGCCATGCTTTACGCTGTGCCAATATGGTCTTGTTGTTGCACTACCAGGAAAAAAGCACTTCAAAGGATTCAGAACAAAGTTCTGAAAATGATTTTGAAGTTGCCTCCCTGGTTCTACCGAGGTACATAGAATTTCGAATGTTGAGACTTTAGAACAAATGTCCAACAAAATAATTAATAATTTCAGGCAAAAATCGTGGCAATCCTCAATTGCAACGATTAATTCCCTTTATACTTAGATAAGATTTAGTTTTAGTTTTTAGTTTTAAGATATCAATTGTTATACTGACATGCAGGTTAAAAAACCTGTTTAAAATACTTAATTGCCAAGACATGAACTATGTAAAAACACTTAGATATATATCATAACAATTAAGGCTGGTACGTTACTGCAGTAACTGGAGCACCTAGGTTAAAAATAAAATGTAATTTATTATGAATTTGGAACAAATAAAGAGTTAAAAAAAAGGAACTATGACATAAGAAAGAATTTGGCGTCATGACATAAACATGGACCTAGATGGCCACGGGACCGTCTTCCGGAAGATCCGAAACATCCGTAAAGTGGTCAATCCATGAAACTGTCCCTAGGCTAGGCAGTTTTCGAAAAACACTAGGAACTGTGATGATATAATTAATTTGGGGTCGTGACATAAACATGCATGGACCCTGTTGCCCATTGGACCGTCCTCCAGAAGATCCGGAACATTGTACAAGCAGACAATCCACAAAAGTGATCCTAGAGCACCCGCGGTTTTTTTTTGTAAACATTAGGAACTGTGATATTAAAAAAAAAATTGGGGTTGTGACATTAAGGGGGAAAATACAAGCAAAAAATTTTTTTTTCTTCGATTTTTTATATTTTCCTTTAAAATTTTTTAAAAAATGCTACGAGCACGAGGAAGGAGTGATCTATGGCCCCGGTATCGCCGATTAACCGTAAGTTCCAGAAATCAAGTTTTTACACAACCCAAAACTTTTAACTTTTTCTCGAGACGGTGTTTTCCAAATTGGCGGGAAAGATAACTCAAAAAGTTTTTATTCTGTGTGAACCACTGATATCATGAAAAAATTACAAGATAAATAATTTTCAGGTCTGCCTAAAGTGGAAAAAACAGTGAAAAATCAACTTTTTTCAGATGTTTTTTTCGAAATTTTTAAATCGTCTTTTTTTTGGGTTATAGAGGTTCAAATATAATAAAAATCTTTTCTGAATAATTTCCAATTGATAAAAGTAAGTTTTGTCCATTTTTCAGGTCTCTAGAACTTTCGCCAATTACCAATCCCCACCGGAGGCGACCTCCTTCCGATGTGACCCCAAGGAGCCACAGAGGTCACACACCAATGATAAAAATCTCAAATGTAGAGGAAGATTTAAGCAATTTAATGCAAAAAAACCCAAACGTTTGCGTTGTTTCATTTGCTCACAAAAAAAATCCTAAAATCGTTGAGTTTTTGACGTGTTACTTGTATTTCCCCGCTTAACATGGACCCAGATAGCCATAGGACCGTCCTCCGGAAGATCTGAAACATCCGTAAAAGTAGTCTATCTATGAAACTGATCCTAGAGCTTCGCGGTTTTTCGAAAATTGTCAAGTTTTAGTATGTAGGGGAATGGATGTAATGTCGGCCTGAATGTCCCTAATTTGGGCCCATACATAAATTCAGCAATCGACTAAATTTTCAATAGCGACCAAAAATATCCATTAGTACTGTCCCAATGACCCGTTCAACTAGATAAAATTGATAAATAGCAGATTTTTAGCGATGGGCCCAATCTTAGATCCATAGGCCAACATTAGAGCCATTTCCCCTACATCACAGCGGAAAGTGATGTTCTGAATTGTATGCAAGATATTAACACAAAATGTGTCTAAACACATCGAAGAGTGTTCCATGAGCTGGACTGCATGGGCAAAAAGTCACGAGAAATAAAACGTGTTCGTAACTGACAGCGAACAGCCCTGCCGTCGAGAAGCACACGCACACACATAGGAGACCGCAAAGCTGCCCATCATCAGGCTGGAGAAGAAAAATCACGATTGTCTTAGCAAGTGCCGGTGGAAGCGTCACGCCAAGTGCATGAATTGCATGCGGTGCCATTTCGTCACTCACGGAGCGTCGGTAGTGAAACATTCGTGGATCACCTCACGGTGCGGATAATTTGAAGAGGATACGGCAGGCTTCCACGGCGAGACGCAAATCCTGTTCGGAACGGAAATACCTACCGGGAAAAAGTGAGTAGGAGTATCTCTTTTCACTCAAAAGGCAGTCCGCTTAATTGGCCGAATTCTATAGGCAACGTGCGTCAGAACCGAACGGCTAGGGGCCATCTTGTGAGACAAGGGAAAAACAACTCGCCGCTAGCGCAAAGGCAAAACCCCATCTCCGGTGCGAACTTCCTAGTGCGGAAAAACACTCATCCAGGGTAGAACAATGAGAGGCGGAACAGTACACCCCGTCGGAAAAAAGTGAGTCGACAGTAAGTATTTTTGCTCAATAGCAAGCTAAAAAAATTGATTGCTCGTCATAGGCCTTGCACGTGCTCACCATCTTGTTACACGCGGGAAACCTCTCGAAGATCGTACACCCGGGCACGGAAGTACAGGTATTAAGATCAGAAAGCGCATAGGGATCGCCCTCACTTCGTCTGTTTTGTCCGGCTGCAGGACAAAAAAGCCTTCGAAAGAGAAGTGAGTTGTTCTTGAGCTCCAATATGTACATGAAGACTGATGTTATTTCTGTACATACATACATACATTTATTTGTACAAAATCACATTTAAGATAAGACATAATCAATAATAGTACGCCACAATACTCGGTTTGCGGCTGCCGCTCTCCATCCTCGGTCATGCCCAATGCTCGCTAGATCACGCTCTACCTGGTCCGCCCATCGTGCTCTCTGCGCTACACGCCTTCTTGTGCCAACCGGATCAGTAGCGAACACCAACTTTGCAGGGTTGTTGTCCGGCATTCTTGCAACATGCCCTGCCCACCGCATCCTTCCGGCTTTGGCCACCTTCTGGATGCTGGGTTCGCCGTAGAGTGCAGCGAGCTCGTGGTTCATTCTTCGCCACCACTCACCGTTCTCCTGCACACCGCCGAAGATCGTCCTTAGCACACGTCGCTCGAAGACTCCGAGTGCTTGCAGGTCCTCCTCGAGCATAGTCCATGTCTCGTGTCCATAGAGGACCACCGGTCTTATTAGCGTTCTGTACATGGTACATTTGGTGCGGGGGTGAATCTTTTTTGACCGTAGTTTCTTCTGGAGCCCGTAGTAGGCACGACTTCCACTGATGATGCGCCTTCGTATTTCACGACTCACATTGTTGTCAGCCGTCATTAAGGATCCAAGGTAAACGAATTCCTCCACTACCTCGAAAGTATCCCCGTCTATCGTGACATTACTTCCTAGACGAATGCTGTCATGTTCGGTTCCGCCTACTAGCATGTACTTTGTTTTTGACGCACTCACCACCAGTCCGACCTTTGCTGCTTCGTGTTTCAGGCGGGTGTATAGTTCTGCCACCGTTCCAAATGTTCTTGCGATAATGTCCATGTCGTCCGCAAAGCACACAAATTGACCGGATTTCGTGAAAATCGTACCCCGGCTGTTGAGCCCGGCTCGTCGCATTACACCTTCTAGAGCAATGTTGAAGAGTAGGCATGAGAGTCCGTCACCTTGTCGCAGTCCCCGGCGAGATTCGAATGAACTGGATAGTTCACCCGAAACCCTTACGCAGTTTTGTACACCGTCCATCGTTGCTTTGATCAGTCTGATCAGCTTCCCAGGAAAGCCGTTCTCGTCCATGATTTTCCATAGCTCTGTGCGGTCGATACTGTCGTATGCCGCCTTAAAGTCGATGAACAAATGATGCGTTGGGACCTGGTATTCACGGCATTTCTGGAGGATTTGCCGTACGGTGAAGATCTGGTCCGTTGTCGATCGGCCGTCAATGAAGCCGGCTTGATAACTTCCCACGAACTCGGTCATTTTAGGTGATAGACGACGGAAGATGGTCTGGGATAGCACTTTGTTCAAAATGGTGATCGCTCTGAAGTTCTCACATTCCAAATGGTCGCCTTTCTTGTGAATGGGGCAGATTACCCCCTCCTTCCACTCCTCCGGTAGCTGTTCTGTTTCCCAGATCCTGACTATCATCCGGTGCAGGCAGGTGGCCAACTTTTCTGGGCCCATCTTGATGAGTTCGGCTGCGATACCATCCTTACCAGCTGCTTTGTTGTTTTTGAGCTGCTGAATGGAGTCCTTAACTTCCCTCAGCGTGGGAGTTGGGTCAGTTCTGTCCTCTGCTGCACTGACGTAGTCGTTTCCTCCATTGCGCTGGTCTCCCGTGCCTACGTTCTCCTCGCCATTCAGGTGCGCATCGAAGTGCTGCTTCCACCTTTCAATCACCTCACGTCCGTCCGTCAAGAGGCTCCCGTCCTTATCCTTGCACATTTCGGCTCGCGGCACGAAGCCGTTGCGGGATGCGTTGAGCTTCTGGTAGAACTTCCGGCACAGCAGTTCCATTTTCTCGCAATCCGCTTCTTCCAGGCGGCGTTTTTTCTCCCGAAAGATGCGGGTCTGCTGTTTCCGCTTCTGTTTATACCGTTCCACGTTCTGTCGGGTTCCATGCTGCAGCACTACCGCCCGCGCTGCGTTCTTCTCCTCCAAAATCGCTCTGAGCTCCTCGTCGAACCATTCATTCCGTCGACTTCTTTCCACGTACCCGATGGTGCTCTCGGCTGCGTCGGTGATGGCTGCTTTTACTGTACTCCAGCAGTCCTCTAGAGGGGGCACATCGAGCTCGCTCTCCTCTGGCAACGCTGCCTCGAGATTCTGCGCGTATGCTAAGGCGAAATCCGGTTGCTTCAGTCGCTCTAGGTTGTACCGTGGCGGGCGTCGGTACCGTACATTGTTGATGACGGAAAGTTTTGGGCGCAGTTTGACCATCACCAGGTAGTGGTCAGAGTCGGTGTTAGCGCCACGATAGGTCCTGACGTCGATAATGTCGGAGAAGTGCCGTCCATCAATCAGAACGTGGTCGATTTGCGATTCCGTCTGCTGTGGTGATCTCCAGGTGTAACGATAGGGGAGGTGGTGTTGGAAGAAGGTGCTACGTATGGCCATGTTCTTGGAGGCGGCGAAATCGATGAGTCGTAGGCTGTTCCCGTTCGTCAGCTGGTGGGCGCTGAACTTTCCAATCGTCGGTCTGAATTCCTCCTCCTGGCGTACCTGAGCGTTTAGGTCTCCTATGATGATCTTGACGTCGTGGCTTGAGCAGCGATCGTACTCGCGGTCGAGCTGCGTGTAAAATGCGTCCTTGTCATCATCAGTGCTTCCGGAGTGAGGGCTGTGCACGTTGATTATGCTAAAGTTGAAGCATCGGCCCTTGATCCTCAACCTGCACATTCTTTCGTCGATCGGCCACCAACCGATCACGCGCTTCTGCATTTCGCCCATCACGATGAAAGCTGTGCCCAGCTCGCGTGTGTTGCCGCAACTCTGGTAGATGGTACACACTAATCGAGTCAGTACGGTTTTACTGAGTTTTTGAATTGCGGAACTGTTCGGTAAAAGTTTAAAAATCTGTGGAAAATTTATTAATGAGAAAATTTGTTCTGAACTTGTACATACTCAGTTCTGTTAACCCCATTTAATGGTAGAAAATATAATTGGTCGATTTCATTTATTCCTTACGGATAACGGTCATTTGAATTTTTACCGACTTTTTCAGCAATTACCCAGTAAAAAAATACTGACTCCTGTAAAAAAATCTTAGTGTGTATGATTACCTCTGAACGTTCGCACCATGGATCCTGTCCAACACACCTCCTGCAGCGCTACGATGCCGAATCCGCGGTCCTTCAGTAGATTGGCGAGTATTCGGGTGCTCCAGATGAAATTGAGAGATCGACAGTTCCACGTGCCGAGTTTCCAATCGCAAGTCCTAATTCGTCGCTGGGGTCGTTGTCGTTGGTCACGGTTCGTATTCCTCTGTTGCTGATTTTCCGTTGCAATGCTTTTTTTACGGCTGGCTCGCAGGGCCTGACACCAACCCCCTAACTTTCCGGAGAACCAGGGTGCACAGTTGTGCTTAGAGTCCTTCACTTGCACTCGGACGTAGATCAGCCGCCCCTAACATGGGGAACAGACGCTGTTGTGAGCCACTCCTCCTGGAGAACAGACGCTCAGGCTTGCCGAAGCAAACCCCCCTTCCCTGTCAGCCTATGACCAAAGTTCCCACCGGGGTTGGTTACCCGATTTTCCCTAAGGTTGCTCACAGTTCCCGGCCGGTACCACGGGGAGGTAGGGATAGGAGTTGCTGGGAAGAGGCTAGTGATCTCAATGGGATCTGTATTGCGCATTACCCAGCATTAACCGACCATGTTGTTTCTGTCTGAGGGCTTTTATTTGCAGCCTGATTTTCCGTGTTTGTGTGCTATATCCATGTATCGCTGTGACACCAAATTCCCACCAAGGCGATTGCAGCCGGACCAAGGCGACCCGGTGAGGCAGTGTGTCATACTTCACCTGATTGCATCGATTGTCCCAACCGAGCCGGTATCGAAGCGAAAGGCTGTCGCTACTGAACTGCAGATCCTCGGGCAGTCAGCCGACATCGAGGACGACCTGAGGCAGGGTTCGTGACGAGCTGAGATCGACCATCGAGCTCTGCGACGCATCTGCCAGCAAATTCGGCTGGAGTGACTATTCTGCAGGCTTCCTGGAGCGAACAGCCGAGTATCGGCACAGTGTGTCACCACGGACCACGAACGTGACGGGTGGTGTGAAGTCGGAGTGGCAGAATGTCGGCGCGGTGTAACTAACACCGAGGATTTGAGATGGGATTGTATGCAGCGTGCCGTGAGTAGAAAAAAAATGGAAGAAACATAAAAAGAACCTGTTGAGTGATATATAGGATACTTGGGATCAGCTTAGCCGAAGGAGATTTGAATAAACTTGCATACAAAATTTACATTTGTTGTGGTGCTGTTTTGATTGCTAGCCGGTCCGACCGAAGCCTTCTTTCTCCTTGGCAAAAGTCGTTTGCAACAAAATTGGAATAATTACATAAGAATTAATTGGGGATCGTATAATAAACATGGGACCGTCCTCCGGAAGATATGAAACATCCTTAACAATGGTCAATCCATGATACTGATCCTAGCATTTGGAACTGTGAAATATGAAAAAAATTGGGTTCATGGCATAAACATTAGACCTATTCATTTGAAACGAAATGTTCGGAATGTAACGGGTCAACCGTGATTACTGTTCGTCATGTTAATTTGAACTTCTGTGCACATTTTCAGCAAAATCGGTGATGATTTAGAGGTGCTTCAAGTAAATTTTATGTTTTTAAGGTAATTTACGGCTTATAATGTTTGTATCTCGAGACTGAAACAACGAAAACTGCTGCAACAACTTTCATAGCAAAGCTTAATGTGTTATATATCAACTTTGTAACCAAAGATTGACTTTCGAAAGAGATTTTATTGAAGTTTGACTTAGTTTCATGCTCGAAGATATCTTAAAAAGGAAAGAATTTTAAAGTACTGTAAATTATGGCTTCGGCACCCATTGACTGTTTTCGGCAACCGAA